TTTTACAGATAAGAAACCAAGCTTGGATAGGTAAGAAAGGAATAAAACCTTGCCAAGCTATCACAGTTAATCAACCAAGTCTGTACCAGAGGCTACATAGGAATGACTCTGATGCCCAGGCTTTTTCAAATTAAGCTGCCTGGTACTGCCTTCATTCAGTTTGAATATTTTATTATTGACTGTGAAATCAGAGACATGCCCCTGTTAAGTCACAGCCAGGTCCTAGGCAACAGAAGCCCTAAGCAATCACCACACTGGGCTTAATCCCAATAGTGAGCGAATATACAGGAACCGCCCCCCAAAGCAACATCCTCATTCCCCTCATGAATCCATAGTACAAAGCGCCCACTACCATGCTCCTTACCGTGATATTCTTAATGATCTGCTGCACCAAGATGGCGTTGGTTAGCATGTGGGTCCTGAGAGGTGCGTGCTGAAGCAGCAGACGGAGCAGCTGGCCCACCACAGGCAGCTCCTCCGGCCCAACTCTGTTCACCCGCAGGCTCTGCAGCATCAGCCTGAGGACCCGCGGCAGAAGGGTCAGGATGGAGACACAGACCCCCCAGAGCTTATCCCTACAGTAATGGAGAGAGAGATCAGTCAGTGAGCAAACACACACTGGAAAAGTCCCTTTTCACATTCCCCCAAGCTGAAATGTCCTTTTGAGAAATGTGTTTTCTGATAAAACACCACAAACCATAACTAATATGAATTGTATTCATCAGAACAAAATAAGCAAATCCAATGAAGAATTAGCTGTTCTCCCCTATTTTATGGATTTTAGGAAGCTAGCAATCAGTACTTTCCCAGGCTTAACATATAATACAGAACTAGCCAGAGAACAGAATGATCGCTACATGCATACCCATTATTCATCAACACTCTTTACAAAGAGAAAGACATCCTCACCAGGATTCAGAATGGATTTCAGAAAGTAGCTGATAAGGGCACTGTAACTATGCCACTTATATGTAGGTCATGGAAGGACAGGCAGTTAAGTCTAAATTACCAAATAACATCATTTCTCTTAGTATCTTTATAAAGCAGCAACAAAAAATTTTATAGTAGAGACAGATGAACTTTTAGCTAGCCTAACCACATCCTAGAAATACTCATTTGGAAGGCGAGACTACTGACTGCTAAGAGCTCTACCCAACCTGTTAGCAGTTTGTACACCTGGAGTATACAACCCTTCCAGTACCCAAATCATTCTTAGAGAACAACACTGCCAGGTCTCGACAGAGTAGTCCTTTTACCAATGACTCCACATACAGTAATGGCCTCTAAGGTGAATAACGAATTGTAGGCTAACCAGATCCTCTTAAAGAGGCTTTATTCAGTATGTGGATTGATGCAAAAGCAGGCTGGGATAGCCACGTGTATGTAAGAAGAGAGAAAGTGAGACTGTAGACATAGCTCATGATAAGACAATGGCCCAAAGATAAAGACAGCAAAATGCAGAAGAAAAGAACAGAACAGAGAAAGCTGCTTTGGTTCTTGCTAGATTTCTATTCCTAGTCCTTTGGGTTTTATAAGTTACTCCTAGGTAATAGTCCGATAGCTCCATTTTCTGGTTGTATTAATTTGAGTGGATTCCAAATAATCACAGGCCCTTCTAAAAACCATACAGTCAGGATCAAAAGCCAGACAGATGAAACTTCTAGGTGCCAGAAACTATAATAAAATTAATATAAAGATGACCAACAGGGGAACAGAACTGAAGAATTTTAGGGCTACGATTTATAACAGTCAACAGTGCTGAAAGCTGAAGCTTCAGGCCCCAGGTATGGAGGGAAGAAAGCTTGAACTGGGCTCCCTGCATGGAGTAGAAGCCAAGAAAATGCAAATGAACAACTCAAATTGGTCAAGCCCAACTTTTTAGCCAGTTATTTGTGAAATCAAAGGCTCACAGTTAATTGACTGGCACTCTCATCATTTTGTCATCTTACAAACACATGCTCCAGTGGAGAAGAAGTTGCTCAAAAAGGAATTTTAAGTAACAAAGACTCTGGCTGTCAATTGTAACGTCACCCTAAGACATGACAGGACCCTGCTATCAACTATTCCAATACCCAGCATCGTGGGTTTTGTTTTGTTTTGAAGAGACTAGGCCATGCTCTGCCACTCAGGCTGGAGTGCAATGGCATGATCATAGCTCACTGCAGCCTCAAATTCCTGGGCTCAAGGGATCCTCCTAACTCAGTTTCCCAACTAATGCTGTTCTTACACTACTATGGCAGTGTTAAGCAGCTGTGACAGGATTGAACATCCCACAAAATTTAAAGTATTTAG